CTGTTTACACGTGACTGAAATCATTCGCTTACGGGGAAACTAAGTTGAATTTGACTTGCATTTTATAACAATTCAACGAATTTATTTTTCGTGCGTTATTTATTGTAATCACTACTAAATAATAATCACCAATATCAACACTTCGAAAACAAGTAAGTTATTCACTTGTGACCAGCAGCATGGCCGGATCGAGCTACCGTTATGTGATCATTTGCTACTAAGCAGTGCATTCCTGTTTTTATTTGAAACTTCTGTTAGAATATACTTTTCGTTACCAAGAAAATTAAAAAAATAAATACTGAGTATTTTTTGTATCATGTAGAATTTTTTTTTGATTGACTGTAATTTTTCAACATTTCGTAACGCCTATTTTAGAACCAAAATAAGGCCTTTCACTCTTCCCCGACGCCTATTCAAGAGATTGTACGTTGTATTGTTTGTTTTGTGCATGTGTTGTGGACAAAAAATGACCACGCCCATTTAGTGATTGCAGTATGTACGTAATAGAAACCGCACCCCGAACTTGAGCTTTTGATCCCAATTTTTAAATTGATACATTGTAATATAAACCGCGGTTTATAATAGGACTTTAACGGTAAAAGGGCGGTGGTCGTTTCACAGCTTGTGTTTGAATTTCATGTAAACAAACATTGTGTTTTATATCGAACACGACACAACGACCTCTGCCCTTTAAGCTACTGCGGTAACCCATTAATCACTTGCATTATATGAGTTCAAGCATTTTACTGCTATGTTTACCTTATGTAACCTTCCACAAAGTAGTCCTGTCAAAATCTGAATGTTTTTATGACAATTGGTAAAAATTCTAAATTGTTGACATTTGTTTAGAATGTCATACTTTATATAGTTCAAATTTAACAGAAAATATACTGAATTGTGAAAGGTGAGGAATGGTCTTATATATATGTACACATTAACCCTTTCACCAGCAGTTTCATCTTTCCCTCAAATTAACAAAAAAGTTCTGTTTACACTTTCCTTCAGAAGATTGGGATAAAAATAGTCAAATTTTTTGAGTGAAAACTGAAAATTGACTCAAATTTTGTCTGTCGGGTTCAAAATTTGGGTTTATTTCCTGAATTTTGAAAATATAAGAAAAAAGAAAAGAACAATTTGGACAAGAAAGTCTGGTTACTATGACAACAAAAGTTATGTAAAAAATATTAAAATGCATTCTCTAAGAAGCATGCAGATTAGCCAGTGTGATGCATACCATCAGTGCATGCACCATTGGCTTCACAATTGATGATATATCTTGGGGCATCAGATGGCAATGGAACCTTCTGTTGTTCAGCTATAAATACAAATGTACATAGTAACAGCAATTGTGAATTTCTGCAATTTTTTAAAAATATCTTGTCTTAAATGTGAACATGAAACAACACAGATCGTGTAGACATAAGAAATGATCAGCCTGTTACAGCATACTCACCAGTACGACTTCGCTCTTCCGCTTCTCTCTTCTGTTGTTCAAGTTTTTCTGTCATTGTTGGTTCGCGGAATGATCCTTGTCTTGCAAAACTTGTCTTATTAACATCAAATTCTACTTTAACCCCGCATTCTTTGTCCCTTTTCTGTTTCCTTTCAAGGCAAGCAGCAAAAGCACACCCCACTGCATGACTCAATCTCTCTCCCTGTTTACAAGAGAACATGATTATATAAGTAAGAGATGTAAACAATAGGCCACAGTTAATTTCAATTCATATCAAAGAAAGCTTAGAAAGAACTCCCGTGTGCTGAGAGTATTGAAGACACAGTAAAAATTAATTCAAAATTACTTGTACTTGAGATATTGATGGAATAGCTGAAAACTAATTATGTAAATCAGGTAACTGATATGAACAGATTTAAGTGTAAAACTAATAAGGTCTGCACAATGTACCTAGTTTCATTAAAATGTGATTAGAACCCAAAAAATATTAATTATTATGCTAATTAGAGAGTTAATATGAACAGATTTTAACCCAAAATTAATCAGGCTGTCTTTTGTCCTAGAGCAGTTATGTACCAAGTTTTATTCAAATGTGATGATCAATACTTGAGATATCAGTATTAATTAATTATGTTAATTAAGTGATTAAGAAGCATACATATTTACCAAAAACTAATATGGTGTATAGTCCTAGGTTCATTGAAATGTGATGGGTACTCTTTAAAAGTTTCATTGAAATTCAATGAGTGGTTTGTG